CTGCTCTTTGCGTGCAATCCTCTTGCTCCCCCAAGCTCTCTTTAACTCCAACTGTGTTGCAGAGTTTGAAAAGCTGACTCCAAGATGTCAGAACTGCTTTCTCAGTGAATGGGACCGATCCAGTCCTACAGCCATCGAGAGCGACCATGGAGGCCGATGCTGCAAGACACCTCATGAGAACAATCAGGCCAGGCTTGGACAGCAGCCCTTTACATAACTGCACTGCATTTTTCATGTGTCTGTCTGTGCTTTAACGACGATATATATTAAAGCATGCTCTGGCTTGGACCTTCATTAACGGCTTTGTTGATACGGCTTTTCTTTGTCTTTCTAAAGGAAGCCCTACCTGTTAAGGTTTTGAAATACATGTGGCCCATCGATAGGTCGCATAATCAGACCTTTTTAAATTAGCAATGATTTTCCTCAAATATTTGTTTGATCTCCATAATTTAAACTTTAAAACCCAATTTTGTGCCCTTTGGTTGATATTCTAACAACATCCATGATATTTTGCCTCCCGGTTTGTTCACCAGCAAGTTTATGTGCTACTGCAAATGAACCAATCATGCAGTTGCGATGATTTGAAATCATAAAGAGACAATTTATCTGATTGAGATAATTGTAAACCTTAAAGGTTTAAAAAAAATTAAAAGGGTGCTATGGAATAACCAATCAGAACACTTGTTATGTACTAATAATAATAGAAATTTTCAAAACCTAGAAATTACTGGTTGGAGCAAATAAGGTGGTAGGCGAGTATTTATAAGTTATTTAAAAACTGAATCAGATTTAGATGTAGATATGAATACATTTCCATAACATTTGAGCTATGGCTTTATTAAAACATGATCAAAATCTGAGCCCAAACCATAAGCTTTAAAAAGACAAAAAAAAACAGAAATCCATACCTAATTGGCTATTAAAATTAAACACTGTAGTCCTGAATATTTAATTGGCAACTTTATTGTATAGCCGTATAGTTCCACAAACCTGTGTGGAAATTTTAATAAAAATGTTGCACCACAAAAGTACTTTAAGACTAAAGTTTAGCCTGAAATGTATGCTTATGTTTTTTGAAGTCACAGTGTTATTCCAACCCGATAGTTACTTGAATGACATCAACAAAGCCACATAATTATTGTGTATTTCCAGAGAAAAATGCAACATGAATGTGGTTGGCTATTTGTCTTACAACACTAATTTGCTTTTCAGCTGGTGTTTATCAGATCAACTACATCTGAAATGTGCTACTAGAGTAGCTCCTGTTATGTAATTTAGCTTAAGCTGTTTATTGTACAAATTGTAGCCTGTGATGTGCAAAAGGCTTTAGCAGCAACACATTAGTACAATACAGTCTTCAAGTTGATCAGAGGATGTTCACTATTGTCCTTTAAAAGGTCCTTTTAAAGTGTCTCCTATATGAAATGGCATCTGATAATGACAGTCATGTACGTTAGGTTTTAACAGGTATGCACAGTTTGTTATCATATTGTGGGCATGGGGACTTGCTTGAGCTTGTCAATTTAATACCATGACGGTGTATGATATTTGTGAAAGAACACAAAGTTTGATTAGTGCTCCAAGATAACTAGTAAGTTTGCAAGTATTGGTTAAACTTGACCTTAAATATTTTGCCATATATATATATATATATATATATGCAAGAATTTGAAGATAATCGTCTTTATTTATACAATAATGTGAAAAGTAATAGTTTTCATTAAGAAGAATGAAAATCTGAGAGAAACGCACTTGAGTGAGATTTGAATGAAAGGTTTTTTTTCCATATGGTCCACTTGGGTTCACTCACAGCTGTATGAAACTATTATGTTCTTATTTTTATTTTAAAGCTGTGAGACGTATTTCATACTGCGTTTGCAAATTCCCAATGATTTGGAACTTAAAATTTGCTTATTTATTTATTTATTTTTCCAATTTTTTAAAAATGCATATAATGAGAACGTTCCCATTTCAAACTGTATGGTTCTGGGGGGAAAGTATTTCTGCAAATCAAAATGATTACGATTGCCAAAAGAAAATGGCCTCCCAAAGAGATCAAAGTTGTAGTTTTGCATACCTCCTCCCAGCTGCTGCTGATTTGAGTACTAGACATTTTGTTTCTTCGGACATGCAAGTGCCTTACCTGTTGCCATTTGCAATCAGTTGTCTAATGGTTCTTTTGGTAAAAAATGCTCTTTGTTTCGCAGAGGTTTTGTCTCCACCTGTTTGCGGTCTTTATAGAGCAAAGTTTATTTTGAAAAAAAAAATGCATATTTTGAGGCTTACTCAAGTCTGTTTGACTTTTCATTTTGATACTACATTTCATATTTGAATAGAGGAGACCAAAGTCTTTTATTTATTATGTCATGTTTTGGCATGTTTGAACACACTAAGCTAACAATAAAACCAACTCGAGAAACTGGAAGATTGCCTTCAGCCCTAACTAAACAGCTCTTAAAAGTGACTTGGAACATACATCATCTATACACTGTACTTCATTTTGACCATTTTAAGTTGTGCTGCACTTTGTTTTATAATGTAATGTACCGTTAATTATAAAAATAAATTGTTTATTGTCTGCATCAGAAATGGACCAGTATTGAATTTTTTTTAGCTATGAGGAGCTCGGAGATTGAGAGAGAACTGTTGATGATTATTAAAATAAATGCACCACACATAATAATTCACTTCTTAGTATGAATACATTTTCTACAAAATGAGAGTAAAGTAAGTAACATGTAAATGAAGAAAAACGGTTGCTTTTCCTGACCTTTGAGTGCCGCACAGAAGGAACTCTTATTGAATTAGGCAAATGTGATTCTGATATCACAAGACCAGACACAGGAGCAGCCCAACGACTCAGGCTGAAGTCAGTTAAACAGACTAAAATAAGTGTTTTTAGTCCAATCCAAAGACGATTCTGCATCACTGGTGAGGATTTTTCTTCTTCTGTAGGAATACATGAACACAGTGAGATTGTCAGCTATATTTGTATTTCATATGCTACATCTGTATTTGCCAGTAATGTGATTTCTGTTGTATTGTAGCCTATATCTCTCCGGGTAGAAAGCATCTGCTAAAGACATACATATAAATGTAAATGTATTGGTGAATTAGTTGTCTGGAAGAGATTTACTTTAAAAGTTACCTTGAAAAAATATTTACACCTTTTTATTTTTACAGAGAGAAAAAAAATAATGTGTGAAATGCTATTTAAACTCATCACTAAACTTTAAAACATGTTGGACTGCATTCAGTTCAGATTATTTTGCATACAGTATGCAATTCCAAGTGTCTTATAGCTCAAATACAACCAGTGGGACAACCAGTTTAACATTGTTTTTCATCTGATTTCAAAAGTCACGAGAAACAAATGAACTATTACAGTACGGAAATTGTGTGCTTTGTTAATTCGAGCATTCAACTTTGTGCGCAACCTGCAAATTCATTCACAAACTCTTTTGGGTAGGGCAATGGGGGAGCTGAACATAGAGAATCTGGTTTTATGGATGGCCCTTCTCCGCTGCAAGCTGAGGCCATCGACCTCAAAATAACCTATTAGATTTACTGCACAGGGCCTGTGCAATGACATAAGCATAATATAAGCTCGCCATTCATCCAGCAGCCCAACCAGTTGGGTTTAACTCTACAGCTGACATTCTCAGACAGAGTAAAGGGTCAACACAACGCACTGGACCCTTAAAATATCCCATCATGCTGAGAGGCACAAATGAGATCACATTTACTGATAATGTAGAGCCATTTTCATTCATGTTTACACAGACAGACCCACATTCACAAGCTGTGTCATGTACCTCAAAATACGCTAATGACTAATCTACATAATATAGGCCTTCTTGAAGGCATGAATTCATCCTCATTCTCGTTATTTGACTTTTTATGTTTAAGTAAAACATTGTGCTTTTTTAGTTTAGACAGCAGCACGAGGGCAGAGGACAAAGGACATGCTTACACCTTATCATATGCTTATATTTGGGAGGCTATTTTAGACTATTCTTCCCATGAGACACACTGTGACACTACAGTCAGCTGAGCATGGTTTGCTACTTACTTTCAAACCACTGTGCAATGGACGTTTCAGAAGGTCACTGATAAAGCCATGACCCTTATAGCCAGAGGTCACAGAGTTCATATGACACTGCGATGGAAACGGATCGGTAGGTGTGTCTATTTTATGGCAACAGGTCACTTTCTGAAAAAATGTTTTGCGTTTAGTATATATCAAAGTCAGAAGAATTAAATTATAAACAATAAATACATGAGAAGTGATTACTAAATAAAAGATCATTAATAAATAATAAATTGTTACTAAAAATAAATCAGTAGATCTAAATGCCTGTGCTGCTGGTTCGTAAGCTGGTCTATATATTTTTATGGAAATTTTAGTGTATACATGTATGTATGTATGTATATATATATATATATATAACAGTCATTTTGTAGTAACATTTCACAATATTACTGTTTTTGATGTATTTTTGATCAAATAAATGCAGCATTAGCATCTTACTGACCCCAAACTTTTGAACTTTTTGAACTTTTGTCGTATAGATATAGGCCTATTGGTATTTTTCTATTGATTTATTTTAAAATACACATTTTTAATTTTAATTAAATTTTAATGTACTAAAATAAATTAACTAAATTTCCAGCTTGGATGGAAACATAGCCACAGAGGCCAGGAGGTCTAGAGTGTTTTTGTCAAGAGCCGTAGGATATGTTTGGAGTCTGTGGGTTTTCCCCTTTCATGTCTAATGTGACCTTCGCACCTGGTAACTGAGCTACTCTGCCAGTTGTCCGGTTCCCATTTTGGTTCTGTGACTCAGTAGCCACATTGAGAGTCATTTAATTTTAGGCATTGCAACATTCCAGTAAGAAGTGATGTGAGAGGAACAAGAGAGAGCTTGAAATGGGCGGTGGCTCATTATAGATAAAGATATACAGTCTGTTCATAAACTCATGGGTGGGGATATGTGTTCTTCACAGGGGTGATGGGACAGAAACAGGACAAGGAGCTAGAAAAAGAAGACGTCCTGACCGGTGCCGTTAGTGACTATGAGATCTTAAACCAAAGCGAAGAGGAAGCACATTCCAACAGCCCAGAAGAAATAGACCAGAATTTTGTTCACTTGTACACCTCCATACTAGAGCCCTGTCCCGATCAGGAACCAACAAGACCTAATGACAACACCACTGAGCCCTCTTTCAACCAGGGAGGAAAAAAGATCAGACAGAGTTATGACACGGATGTTTCGCAGAATGGCAGGACACCAAATCCTCTGCTGAGCCTGGCAGGAGGTCCATGTGCCTCAGAATTCAAAACAGTCACAAGCGACGCAACCGCCACAGACATATTTACTGCTGTAGACCAGCAACGACCTGACAAAACAGTCGGAATGACTAACAAAACTCACCTCAAGGATACTCCAAACATGGACTCAGCAGATGATGGCGTGAGCATTGAGAAGAATGAGACACGGACGCTCTCTGACAGACACAACGGGATGACAAAGATGAGTGGTGATGTCGAAATAAAGAGGACATTTTCTTTGGAAGCAGAGAATGCTGATTTACTTGAAAGACAGCCATTCCAGGACAAAGATAAACATGAAATGCAAACCCTAAGTAGTGACAAAATTAGGAGAGGTTGTGAGAAAGTTTGCAAAGAAAGTGCTGGAACTGTTCGACACAAAGAAAGTCCTGATGAGGACAGATTTGAGTATTTGGACAGAGCCGATTCTTTATGTCCAGAGACTGTGACAACACGTCCATCATTCACTGGGCTCCACTCGAATTCAAGTCGTCCATGGCTTCAGAGTGCCAATAAGCAGGATAGTTTACAGGGAGACAAAAATATCAGTAGAGGTTTGTCAAGAAGAAGTGTTTTACAAGAACCCAATGATGCCTCACAGACACCCAAAGCAACAAACTTCAGAAATGACCAAAGAACTTTCCGTACACCATTGCTGGGAAAAGAAGAGACCGAAATGGGTGAAACTGAAGGTAAGGACAAAATCTTGCATACTCCCTTTGATAAACCTTGTCTATTAAGATCTACAGTGACAACATTTGACTCTTTCGATTGTGACACCGTTACTGAATCCACAAATCCAGACACAGCTCTAGTCCCGTTGAGGATTGAGGAGGACTTTGAACAAAAGGTATTAAGCACATTTCATCCAGTTTTAAGCCAAAGCAATACTTTGTTTCACAGTGAGAAGCAAAATGATGACAAAGGGGCGTTCACTGTCATGGAAAAACACTCAACAGTCATGTCATCTGAGAGTTTAACTGAATCCAGTGCTAAAAGCGTCCCTGTTAGCAATGCTCCTCACCCAGCCAAAAAGGGAGTGTGGGGAGCAGAAGCACCATGTGTGAAAAGAGACACTGAATCTGTTTATCAAAAAGCTGTTCGGTCGAGATCCACAGAAAGCAGGAAAGACTGTGATGGTCATCTTAATGGAAGGCATAATACTTCTTTACTTGAATTAGCAGGGGGAAATGGTAAAATTCAGGGCAAAAGAGTCTGTAATCCAAAGATCTACAAGCTGGATGACATGAACACAGAAACAGAGGCCAAAGAGAATTCTTCCAGTGGTAAATGTTTAGATCAAATGATCATAAATCATTTCCATTCTTTTTCTCACTCAGATTTTGATGCAGGTGACGCCGAAAGAGTCGCACAGACAGCTTCTTTGCAACAGGAAAAAGAGCCTCTTTATTTCACAGCTGAGATCACACCACCACTTCAGATTCATGCATTTCCTGATCAGGAGGCGAGGAAGTCATCTGACGTTTCTCATTTGTACGTTCCTCACGCTGAAAAACAGAGCATGATCCCTGACATCCTACCCACAGATGCCAAAATCAAAGGACCACCACCACCTGTTCCAAAGAAACCAAAGAATCCCTTTAAAAAAGCCGTTGGCCGCAAGGAATCTGCTTGTCATTCCACAGAGGAGCCAAGCAAATATTCGGACCTACTGCTCAGAAATATTCAAATGGACAGAAGGCAGGCAGCACTGCAGTCCGCTGAGGATTTTAATATGCATGCATCATGTCTTGATATGTCACCTTATTATATCGAGTCCCCATTCTACATGTGCATGTCCTTAGAGCCTGAGGCTGCTGATATTCCAAGATATGATTTAGTCCCGTATGATGAAACTGTTGCACCTGACTGCGATAACTTGATAGAAACTGTCGATGATAAAGAACTAAAAGAAATGGATATGTCTCAGCTGAGACCGTTGTTAAAAAAAAAAGCAAAAATTAAGGGCCCACCACCACCTGTGCCGAAGAAGCCTCAAAATCCATTTGCTAAAGCAGACACTGAGAAGAACCAAGCAAGCAAAGACTCTGATCTGGAAAATGTGGAACAGCCTTTGAAATATGGTAGACGTGACTCTGAATGCTACGTGATGGACATGGAGGATGAAGAAGCCGCTAAACCCACCGCAGTCCCAACTAGATATCCTTACGCCGCCTGTCGAATTCCAAGCAGTGATTCTTCTGCTTCAGAGGAAAACAAGCTGTCCAGATACAGGCCCGTCTCTGAACTCATCAGAGACAGCAACAAAATCCAGGAGAAAGTGATACATCACAGCAGGACAAACATAATGAAAGCCAGGCCAGATGTGACTGTGGGAAGCCAGAGTCTAAAAGTATCGCAGATGAAGACAGCCTTTGATGCACAAACATCTTCCCATAAAATGGAAAGAAGATCCTCGCCAAAGAAAGGTAAAACAGGTTTTCAAGCTGATTGCATTCCTAGTTTTCATACTGTATACAACTGATAGGGTTATAAAGAATCTTGAAGAATGAGACACAGTGGGTTCCAGTATATAAAAATAAAAAATATATTTATATACATTAAGATTTTACTTAATATCAGAACACTAATGGAGTTAATAATAGTGTTATGACATTACTTAAACGTTTACTGCAATAATTTACCTAATTTAGTTTGATTATCTTTTGCAAATATGGGTAAGAAATCATAAGATTAATCATACTTATTTTATGAAATTGGCAGCCATATTATTTAAAAGAAAAAAAAGAAAAACAACACTGTTTTATGAAATAAAAATTGTAATCCTTTCTTTCTAACTGTCAAGAAAATTGGTATATCTTTTTGTGGACTTTCACTTTGACACTGTTGCTTTTAGCTCGCTCACTTTTATTCACTGATGCTGCTTTGAAATAGTATAGCTAAGCTTATTTATAGTGAAAA